ATTATTTTTACTCCTAAAATATCACTACTATTTTGATCAATAAAAAAATATATCACAACTATGATAATATGTATAATTAACTATGTTTTAGTTGAATTTATGAACTGTTACAATTGACCCCGTAAGTGGGGACAATTGTAACAAGTGCACGACTGTCGAAAATTGTTAATTACTAATATAATAACATTTAAAATAAGGTATTTATTTTTTTTCTAGTAGAGAATAGTCTACTTTACTCGTCTGTCAATTAATACTGATAATATATTGGATTTTTTGTTAGTTAAAAATAGTTAAGTAAAAAATGTTACAATTGACCCCACTCTCCCCTACTTAGTAAATGATGGCGGTAAGCGTGAACTAAAACTTTAAATTTCCTAACACCAGATTCAATTTTTAGAATCCAACAGCCAAAAAAAATTCAAGCTTTAGATTTAAGAGGAAAAAAAAGAGAGAGAAAGAGAAAATGGTAGTTAAATTTTACTATATTATTGGGAGCTAGCTACGATTTTCAGATGTCCTGGCAATCAACATTTGTAGATCCCCCCCCCCATCCCCGGTGGATAAAAATAATTTCACGTGCATATCATAATCCAATTCATGTTGTATAGAAGTTTCGACATTCAATTTTGAAACGAATTGACGGTAATGAAAGTTTTTACTTTCATGTCAATAAAAAATTTGATAATTTTCTGTCGGTATATGCATGGATAGCTATGTATAAAATGAAATGGCTTTATAGATAGCTTTATGTTGGTATATAGACATAAGATAGCTACTAATCAATTATCTCTATCGATAGTTTTATGTGGGACTAGCCAAGATTTATTGTAATATTTAGAAACAAATTCTTCATGTCCAAAAAGCAACAGACGATATTAAAATTTAATTGAAATAAAACGGAAGGAGATATAAATGTACAGAGCGCAAAATAAAAAACGGACCATCCTGAATAACTTTTGATCTAATGATCGCATCTTCACGTTCTAGGACTCAATTTTAATGGTTAAGAGGGGTGACCTCAAATACGCTAATTAATAAGAGCAATCGATATTTTAAATTACGGAATCAGACACAAAAACGTACTTTCTCAGAATAAACATACCTTTTTCTTCGACGGATTCGGATTTCTGACTCCCAAATCTGGGTAATATGACCCCAATAGTTGGAGAGGGGTCAAAAATTTGGGACCCTTAATGATAATTTGATTTTCCACGTCTTTATCTTTATCTCAAGAAGCGAATTGAAAAACGTTTGCAAATAATTATAAAATTCAGTTGTATAAAGATAATTCCATGCAAAAAATAAATATTAAAAAATATTTATTATTTTTCATTATTTTATTTAATAACAATCGAAACTTTTTTAATTGTAAGGTGTAAAATTTTTTTACATCCAGTAATTTTAAAGTACATAATTTTGAAAGGTGAAATACAAAATTTGTGCGAAATCGGTCGAATTGTTCATGCGAAATCAAACTTTGAAAAAGTCGTATATTAAAAACTCGACTTATCAGGAACTATTCGAACAATTTCGCTCAAATTTTGTATTTTGCCATTTAAAATTGTATGCTTTAAAATGATGTAAAAAGTTGTATATCTTGCAATTCAAAAATGCTTCGGTTGTTATTAAATGAAATTTTAAAAAATTATAAATATTTACTAAATTTTATGTTTTGCATGGAATTACGTTTGGACAAATTAGTTTTATAATTATATGCAAATAAAATTTCAACTCGTTTTAAAAGTTTTCGAGATATAACGAAATACGCAAAAAATCAAATTAACATTAAGTGCTCCAAATTTTGGATCTCTCTCTTGACCAAACTATTGGGACCATATTTTCCAGATAACGGCTACCTCCTATGTTTTTGGAATCAGAAATCTGAATTCCTTGCTAAAAAAAGCGTAACTCAACGAAAGTACGTTTTTGCGTAACTTAAAATATCGTATGAACTTATTAATTAGCATAGTTGAGGTCACTCCCTCAAACCATAAAGATTGAGTCTTAGCTCGTGAAAATCCGATCAATAGATCAAAAGTTATTCAGGATTATCTGTTTCTTATTTTGCGCTCTGTACGTTCGGATTGCTACATTCTGCTTAAGAAACCAGAAAATTTTTCTCTCAAAAAATTTCAAAATTTAAAACTAGCTACTAAATTCGACAACAGATTGCTCTTCTGAGTTGGAAAACTACACAGCAATATTTTCTGTTGTATGTTAGTGTTATTGCAATTTTTGATTATTTTGAGAAATGAAGTTCAAATTAAGGATTTTAAATTACCAATCTCATTCCGTAGGATTTTTCTCTGTCGAATATAAGATTCTTGTTTGTCTCTATAAAGTGATAATGACTTCCAATCTGAAAAATGAAATTATACAAAAATAAGTACTTGCATTCAAAATATAAGTTTAAAATATGCACTAAAAATTCATATTAAATCTTTTTAAAAGTATACTTTACTTAACAGTATATTTCCCGCACCAGACTTGCACCGACCACAGAACTGGCATAAAATATCCTCAGTGGTAACATCAGTCCTCTTCCATATTATGGGAGGTTTTCGCGATTTTCCCCTCGATGTAACGCAAATGCGGGTTAGTACCATCAAAAAGTCCTCCATGGAGGCAAATTTCTCACAATACTTGATCAAGGAGTTCCCTTGTCTTCTATATTGGATTCAAAATTACAAGGCTACGGAGTTAAACATTAGTGAGCGTAAACCCAAAATTGAGTCGGCTGTTAAACGAGATTTATAAAATAAAACAAAATAAGAAAATGATTAGCCGTGGTGGCTCAGGGGATAGAGCGCTCGCCTCCCAATGGGATTCGAGCCCCAGCGATATCTGGTTGATAGGAATTCCGCTCCCGCGCCGCACTGACCACATTTCTCACGCAAAATATCCTGAGGTTTATAGGTTAGAGTCTCTTTCCCTTCAGGCTAAAAATGGGAGGATTCCGTGGTTTTCTTCCCCGTGTAACGGTCCTTCCCTCAAATACAGGTTAGTCCCATCAAACAATTCTCCACGGAGACGAATTCCTCCCAATAATTAATTCAAAAGTTCCCTTGCCTTTTGGAATGGGTTCAAAATTACAAGGCTACACAGTAGAACATTGGAAGTGGTAAACTCAAAATTAGGTCGGGTGCATTCAACGACGGTTATAAAATAAAATAAAAATATAATAATAAGATAACGAAAAGTATTTTACAGATAAATAAAAGACAGATATCACAAGTAATGATAAATAAAATAGGAATAAGATGGTTTCCAAAAAAAATTTTTTTTCAATTAACATATTTTATTTCAAACCATAACTGATATCAGTACACTAAATTCATAAAAATATCTGATATTTGTTAATTTAATCAATTTGTTCCTAATTTATTTAATAACTTAAATAATAATTTTGCAGTCGGAAAAGTACCGTTTTTCCTTATGCTGGAAAAGCACATAGAGAAAGAAAAGAAAATATGCTTAATTAATTTACAGGCATTTTGCTATAAGATTTTTAAAATCATCATTATTTTGTCATTGATCAATTGTAAATTGCGTGGTTTCTATGATTGCTACTTATAATTAGATTTTTATTCTATTTTATTGCAGCGAAGTGTTTAAAAATACTTTTAATTTGCATTATAGAATCGCAATAGAAAGAAAAATGCAGTAATAATACATAGGATCAATACCTGAATCGGTCTGTCGCAGACGCTTGTAACCTTCAATGCTATCCGTCTTCTATTTTTGTTGATTTGAATCTTTTCATCTGTCTTTTTTGGATAAAAACATCCGGGTGGACTTTTTAATAATATATCTTTCCCAGATTCATTTTTTTCCTAAAAAATGTATTTTATTAGGTTAAAATAGCGATTCCAAATGAAAAACGTCTCATAAAATATCATTCTATACAAAACATTATCATAACAAATTACACTCTATAACAAGTCCGGAGTTGTCCGATTGAAACGAAAATTGGT